GGGGACTCTGCAACCCCCACAGGCAGGGACGTGTTCCCCTGCCCAGGTTTCCCCATGTTCCTCTCCCAGAGGAGACAAAGGTCCCCAGATGAAGGCTGTGAATCCTCTCCACTCTTCCCTCTTTCCCTGCTGGCCTTTGCTGCAAGGGGAGAGCATTGGGGAAGTGTGAAGAGGCTGCTCTTTTCCTCCTTGTGCCTTTGTCTCCCTCACCAGTCCTGGATGCAAGAGGATCCCTACAGGCGAGGTGCCCAGGGAAGCCAGTGATGGGGCCCTGCAGAGAGTTGTTCTGTTGCCTGATGGGAGGGAGCCGTCCCTGCCAGGAATCCTGCCTGCCCCTGCAAGCCCTGTCCCAGCGGGATGCTGTGGAGCCTCATCCCGGTGGGTCAAAGCTCCTTCTGGGGTCACCCTGAGGAGAAGCCTGCCCAGCCCCTCAGCTCTTCCTCCATCGTGGGCTTGGATGAGCACATCCTTCCTGCTGGCAGCTAGCTTTCCCATCATGCCTGCCCACCATCTGGAAAGATGGGCTGCCTCAGACATTCCCTGAATGGTCACGGGGAGAAGGCCACTATGTGGTGGTGGAGGGTGTGCAGGCTGCGCACAGCCTGAAGGTACCGCTCGACCTGCTCTGCAGCTGGTGCTGGCCGTGTGGAGCTGCCTTGGGCAGGCGGAGGGAGCTTCCCTGAAGGGAGACACGCGTGTGCCAGCAACTCAACATGCCACAGACGTCTAGAGGAGAAAGTCAGGAAGGGTACAAAACTGCTATTGGTGGGAAGGAGCTAAATGTCAGGGTGCGGGAGAAGGACTACGAGGGAAAACACAACACCAATGAGGCACGGAGACTGGGGAGAGCCCAAAGGCAGGGCGAGGCTGCCCAGGGCTGTGGCTGCTCAGCCCCATGCAGGTCCCCCACTTCCCTGCTCTGAGGTTGTCCTGCACACACAGAGTTCCCCAAGGCTTTTCCTCCACTCAACGCTAATCAGTGCTACCATCTCTCTTCTTTTCCCTTCCTCAGGAAACAACGAGAAAACACCTACTGTCTCACCTACGACGAGAACCCCAACAACTACAGGTAAGGAGCAAAAAGCCCTCAGGGAGGCCCTTTTGAGGACAGGTTGGAGTAACCCAGTCTCGGGGAGCTCTGCAGCCCCCACAGGCAGGGACGTGTTCCCCTGCCCAGGTTTCCCCGAGTTTTTTTCCTGGTGGAGTCACAGAGCCCCAGATTAAAGCTGCATCTTCTCTCCTGCATTCCTTCTCTGACCCTGCAGGTCTTTGCTGCAAGGGGAAAGAGTTGGTGATGATTTCAGCAACCCTGTCCGTCCTGCTTGGTGCCTTTGCCTCCTTGAACAGACCCCAAGACCCACATCTGTTTCACACATCCTTGCTATGCAGAAACAGTTGCTGCTGCACAGTTTTCCCCAAACAGTGTTGCCAAGCAGGCCATCAGGGGTAGCATGTTCGCGGGTTGATGGCTGTCCTCAGCCTACTCTGGCAGCTGGTGCTGGCCGTGTGGTGCTGCCTTGGGCAGGTGGAGGGAGTTTTCCTGCAGGGAGACACGCGTGTGCCGGTGGCTGAGCCGGCTGTGGGCAGCGAGCGCAGCTGAGCTGGGGGCAATGCACTGCCCGTGTGGGGCACGTGCTGAAGGCCTGGGATCTGGAGGACAACAGGTCAGGTCAACGTCAGACTACACAGGCATCATGGCCAGGGAGAGCCCAAAGGCAGGGCGAGGCTGCCCAGGGCTGTGGCTGCTCAGCCCCATGCAGGTCCCCCACTTCCCTGCTCTGAGGTTGTCCTGCACACACAGAGTTCCCCAAGGCTTTTCCTCCACTCAACGCTAATCAGTGCTACCATCTCTCTTCTTTTCCCTTCCTCAGGAAACAACGAGAAAACACCTACTGTCTCACCTACGACGAGAACCTCAACAACTACAGGTAAGGAGCAAAAAGCCCTCAGGGAGGCCCTTTTGAGGACAGGTTGGAGTAACCCAGTCTCGGGGAGCTCTGCAGCCCCCACAGGCAGGGACGTGTTCCCCTGCCCAGGTTTCCCCGAGTTTTTTTCCTGGTGGAGTCACAGAGCCCCAGATTAAAGCTGCATCTTCTCTCCTGCATTCCTTCTCTGACCCTGCAGGACTTTGCTGCAAGGGGAAAGAGATGGTGATGATTTCAGCAACCCTGTCCGTCCTGCTTGGTGCCTTTGCCTCCTTGAACAGACCCCAAGACCCACATCTGTTTCACACATCCTTGCTATGCAGAAACAGTTGCTGCTGCACAGTTTTCCCCAAACAGTGTTGCCAAGCAGGCCATCATGGGTAGCATGTTCGCGGGTTGATGGCTGTCCTCAGCCTACTCTGGCAGCTGGTGCTGGCCGTGTGGTGCTGCCTTGGGCAGGTGGAGGGAGTTTTCCTGCAGGGAGACACGCGTGTGCCGGTGGCTGAGCCGGCTGTGGGCAGCGAGCGCAGCTGAGCTGGGGGCAATGCACTGCCCGTGTGGGGCACGTGCTGAAGGCCTGGGATCTGGAGGACAACAGGTCATGGACACGTCAGACTACACAGGCATCATGGCCAGGGAGAGCCCAAAGGCAGGGCGAGGCTGCCCAGGGCTGTGGCTGCTCAGCCCCATGCAGGTCCCCCACTTCCCTGCTCTGAGGTTGTCCTGCACACACAGAGTTCCCCAAGGCTTTTCCTCCACTCAACGCTAATCAGTGCTACCATCTCTCTTCTTTTCCCTTCCTCAGGAAACAACGAGAAAACATCTACTGTCTCACCTACGACGAGAACCCCAACAACTACAAGTAAGGAGCAAAAAGCCCTCAGGGAGGCCCTTTTGAGGACAGGTTGGAGTAACCCAGTCTCGGGGAGCTCTGCAGCCCCCACAGGCAGGGACGTGTTCCCCTGCCCAGGTTTCCCCGAGTTTTTTTCCTGGTGGAGTCACAGAGCCCCAGATTAAAGCTGCATCTTCTCTCCTGCATTCCTTCTCTGACCCTGCAGGACTTTGCTGCAAGGGGAAAGAGATGGTGATGATTTCAGCAACCCTGTCCGTCCTGCTTGGTGCCTTTGCCTCCTTGAACAGACCCCAAGACCCACATCTGTTTCACACATCCTTGCTATGCAGAAACAGTTGCTGCTGCACAGTTTTCCCCAAACAGTGTTGCCAAGCAGGCCATCATGGGTAGCATGTTCGCGGGTTGATGGCTGTCCTCAGCCTACTCTGGCAGCTGGTGCTGGCCGTGTGGTGCTGCCTTGGGCAGGTGGAGGGAGTTTTCCTGCAGGGAGACACGCGTGTGCCGGTGGCTGAGCCGGCTGTGGGCAGCGAGCGCAGCTGAGCTGGGGGCAATGCACTGCCCGTGTGGGGCACGTGCTGAAGGCCTGGGATCTGGAGGACAACAGGTCATGGACACGTCAGACTACACAGGCATCATGGCCAGGGAGAGCCCAAAGGCAGGGCGAGGCTGCCCAGGGCTGTGGCTGCTCAGCCCCATGCAGGTCCCCCACTTCCCTGCTCTGAGGTTGTCCTGCACACACAGAGTTCCCCAAGGCTTTTCCTCCACTCAACGCTAATCAGTGCTACCATCTCTCTTCTTTTCCCTTCCTCAGGAAACAACGAGAAAACACCTACTGTCTCACCTACGACGAGAACCCCAACAACTACAGGTAAGGAGCAAAAAGCCCTCAGGGAGGCCCTTTTGAGGACAGGTTGGAGTAACCCAGTCTCGGGGAGCTCTGCAGCCCCCACAGGCAGGGACGTGTTCCCCTGCCCAGGTTTCCCCGAGTTTTTTTCCTGGTGGAGTCACAGAGCCCCAGATTAAAGCTGCATCTTCTCTCCTGCATTCCTTCTCTGACCCTGCAGGTCTTTGCTGCAAGGGGAAAGAGATGGTGATGATTTCAGCAACCCTGTCCGTCCTGCTTGGTGCCTTTGCCTCCTTGAACAGACCCCAAGACCCACATCTGTTTCACACATCCTTGCTATGCAGAAACAGTTGCTGCTGCACAGTTTTCCCCAAACAGTGTTGCCAAGCAGGCCATCATGGGTAGCATGTTCGCGGGTTGATGGCTGTCCTCAGCCTACTCTGGCAGCTGGTGCTGGCCGTGTGGTGCTGCCTTGGGCAGGTGGAGGGAGTTTTCCTGCAGGGAGACACGCGTGTGCCAGTGGCTGAGCCGGCTGTGGGCAGCGAGCGCAGCTGAGCTGGGGGCAATGCACTGCCCGTGTGGGGCACGTGCTGAAGGCCTGGGATCTGGAGGACAACAGGTCATGGACACGTCAGACTACACAGGCATCATGGCCAGGGAGAGCCCAAAGGCAGGGCGAGGCTGCCCAGGGCTGTGGCTGCTCAGCCCCATGCAGGTCCCCCACTTCCCTGCTCTGAGGTTGTCCTGCACACACAGAGTTCCCCAAGGCTTTTCCTCCACTCAACGCTAATCAGTGCTACCATCTCTCTTCTTTTCCCTTCCTCAGGAAACAACGAGAAAACACCTACTGTCTCACCTACGACGAGAACCCCAACAACTACAGGTAAGGAGCAAAAAGCCCTCAGGGAGGCCCTTTTGAGGACAGGTTGGAGTAACCCAGTCTCGGGGAGCTCTGCAGCCCCCACAGGCAGGGACGTGTTCCCCTGCCCAGGTTTCCCC